CCGTCTTTTTTTTTCCTCTCCCTTCTCTTTCGACGTCGACATCATCACCGCGTCAATCATGTAATCGAGTGTTTGTTGTTTAGGACATTGCAGACGATAAATTCATGTTTGTGAATATAAACGTTTATAAAACGATTGTGTTGTTTATTATTATTATTATCATCATCATTATTATTATTAATTCGATTCGGTATTTTGTCGTTGTTGTTGTTGTTGTTGTAGCTTCTGTTGTTTCAGTAGCATTCAGTTCACGACGAAGGTATGATGAGATTTTAAACGAATGTTTTATTATTATTATTATTATTATTATTATTATTATTATTATTATTATTTTCTCCGCGTTAAATGTATTGCGATGAGCGATATATCGAAGTGAATTTCGAGTTTTTTTAACGATACGATATCTCGAATAGTTTTCGCGTATGTGATAACGTTTTCAAACGTAATTTCGCGAGTCAGATCAAATGGTTTAGGGGTAAGAAGAGTAAAATCATTCGTGACCTTTGACTTTTGCCGATTGTGTGTGTGTGTCCGGCTCCGTAAGTCTTTATGCTCTTTACAGAAGAGCGCCGAACGCGAAACGATGATTGTAAAAGTTGGAAATGGTCGGCCATTGTTTTGTATATGCAATGAGGCAGAGGAATTTATTTTTTTTTTTTTTTTTCAAACGCGAGAGGTCACGTGATCGTTCGTTCGAGTGTGTATGTGCGCGTTTGTTGTGTTTACAAAAGTTTCCTCGATATAATTTACATTTAAAAAAAAAAAAAAGAAAATTAAAAAATTTTTTGTTAATTGTCATTTAACGACGACGACGATGACGACGACTCGAAAATTTGAAAAAAAAAAAAAAGTCGATGAATCGATTGACCGATTTATCGAAACGATTCGATTTATCGTTTTTTTTTTTTATATATTTTTTATGAGCTTTTATTGTCGTAAAAAAATGATTTAAAAAAAAAAAAAAAATTAAAACAATAAAAATGTGATTGACCTGATTAAAAAAAAAAAAAAGAAGTAGAGAAAATAATAATAATAATAATAATTCGGTGTGAATGAAATCGATTCCGAAGCTATAATAATAATTATTACTTATTGTTAATAATAAATTTCTGCAGTGGCACGAGAATGACGTTCCAACGAAATCGTTCCCTAGACGAAAAAACCACGTATATCACATCATCTCCTTCAAACGGTCGCACACGTTTAGGTTAAAAAATTTTTTCTCCCCTTCCTCTTCATCCCCTCCACGTGCGATTCTCTTATTATTATTATTATTATGTTTTTCTCCTTCCACGATATAAACGTGCGAGCGGTAAAAAAAAAAAAAAAATTTTTTTTTTTTTTTAAATCGTTTTTTTATTTTCTCTCGTCTGAATTTTCATTCCGAAAACTTTCGAAATTTTATTTTTCTTACTCGCGTGAGAGAGAGAAAGGGAAACGGTGGGAGAGAGAGAGAGAGGGATACGTTTTAACGTGGAAGCAAAATGCGCAATTATCGTTTAGGTTTATTTTATTCCACGATAATTTTCGCTTTTAATAATGCGATTTATCAAATTGTACGCTCGAACGAACGCTCGAAACCTGTCACGCGTTGTACTTTTACGTCTCTCTCTGTGTCTCTCTCTTTTCTCTCTCTTTTTTCTCTCTCTTTTTTCTTTCTCTCTTTCTCTCTCACACTCTCTCTCTTTCTCTCGGTATACCTCCCGTATTCTCTGTTTCTTCGTTTATCTTAAATTGAATTTAAAAAAAAAAAAAAAAAAGCTCTGAAAGTTTTGAGAAAATCAACCTTTTGTAACCGTTCAAATGCGCAAATAAATTTTTTTTCTTTTCTGCTGACACGTTTCGGTGTCATGTCTTCATTATAATTTGTTTTTTTAAACGTTAACACAAAATTATTATTCGTCTTATTTGTGTGGAGATGCGAAAAGTTATTTAAAGGCAAAAAAGATACAATTAATTGTAATATTATTATTATTAATATTTTCTTCTTCCACGTTATTTTGTTAGACGTCTGTGTGTTGTGACGACCTTTTTCTTCGCGTGTTTGAAATTATCATCAACACGTCTAATCTCAATAAGCGATAAATAATCAATTTGTTTGGGGGAGGGAGTGAAAAGAATGACGATGACGATGATGATGATGATGATGATAATATTTGAGAAGAATTTCTGATGAAAGGATTTTAATATCTCGGATGATTGAAAACGTCAACCGCGTTGAAAAATGAAGAAGATTGGGGGAGGTGGGGGGGGCATAAAAGAAAAAGAATGAACAACAACAACAAAAAGTTTTAGTCCGGCGTGGCTCGTAGGAAGTAGTTTCACGGTCGTTTAAATGTCGGAAAGAATTTTTTTTTTTTTTTTTTTGTTCTATTTAATTAAAATTGCCATCCATCGACGGGCCGTTAAAATGAGACGACGATGGGAGAATAGAAAAGGGTTTTGTTGTCGTCGTCGTCGTCGTCGTCGTCGAATACGACGATGATGATGATGGCGGCGTTGATGATGTTGATGACGAAAACGAGTGGTTGCTCTTCGTCTTCTTCTTCTTCTTCTTCTCGTTTATTACCAGTTTTTTTTTTTTTTTTGGTCGTCATTCGTGAGAACGCATTTCCGGTTTCGAGAAGACGACGACGACAACAACGTGACGTGACGTCCGGTTTTTTTTTTTTTTTTTATGATGCCTTAAAATTATTTAGTTGTCAACCCTGAATCAGAATTAACCCTTTTCGTTCGTGGTTTCACTCATCAAAAGTTTTCAAGACGAGTTTTCCCCGAGTGTCTCTCTCTCTCTCTCACACACTCTCTCTCACTCTCTTTACGATCCTTTCGTCGTCGCGATACGAAAAAGGTTTTATTTAAATTTAAGATAAACACGCGATTGATCCCCGTTTGACCTTTACGTGGTAAATATTTTCCCGAAGCAAGGGAGGGAACGGAAAAGATTTTTTTTTTTTTTATTGTTATGTTGGCGTTCTGGAATTTTTTTTCTTTTCTATTCCATTCATTCATTCATTCATTGGCGTGGTTTTACTAATTCGTTTTAATTAATTGTTTTTTTTTTTTAGGGTTTAGAAAATGTCACACTTCGTCAGACTCAAATGACGTCGGATTTCAACTCTCCCAGAATCGACTCGTACAGATTTTCAATGGCCAACCTCGAAGAATCGCAAGATGTCGATTTGGATGCCATATTGGGAGAGTTGAGCGCTTTGGAAACTCAATGCGATCAGGTGAGAAAAGGAAAAGAGAAGAGAAGAGGGAATCGACGGTTTCCGGTCCTCTCTTCTTCCGGTTATTTTCTTCTTCTTCCCCGTCATTTTGCAAAGTTTAAATGTCTCTCTTATCTCGATAAGTTTCGTTTTCCACGCATATCATTTTTTACTCTTTCTGTCATTTTTTTTTTTTTAATGCGTTCGTTGCTCCCCATGATCGTATCGGCCATTTTCTCTTTCTCTCTCTCTCTCTCTCTCTCTCTCTGCGTCACTGCTTTCTCTTAATTAATATTTTTTCTGCAGAAGATATCGTTCTTGGGTGTTTTCTTCGTTTGTTTGTTTGTTTGTTTGTCACGAATTTAACTCGTTTGTATTCTTGAGAGAGTTGGTTGTCACACACGTCTAATTCAGCGTGTGCCTGCCTACTTGCTTGAGTGAAAGATCGTGCGAGAGAGAGAGAGAGAGTCACAATCGTGCAAAAAAATTATTATTATTTTCATTCGTTATGCCAAACTTTTAGTCATTAGCCCCCCATACTCCTCATACCGTTTCTTTTCCTTTTCCTCTTTTTTTTTTTACTTCCTCAAAAGTTTTGCGTCAGGTGCCAACTTTTTGATTTGCCACCGATTTTCATTTTCATTTTTTTTTTTTATTGTTCGACGTGAGATTTAAAAAGCAGCATGCCAAAAAAAATTTTTTTTTTTTTTTCCGTTTTAATAAAATGGTGGTCGCAGCTGTAAAATTTTTTTTTTTGTTCGTTCGAAGACAACCTTAACGATTTGCACGTTGCATCCGTTTCCGTTACACGTAATGGATGCACCATCAAATCGTGGAACAGTAGGAGGAGGAAGGGAGAGGAACGGAAATAAGAAAATCAATTTTCTCTTTTTTTTTTTGAACTTGGTCAGTCACAAACGTGAGAAAAAGTAAACAAGAGCAGAGAGACCTTTGATCTTTGACCCCCTTGTAGTAAAAAAAAAAAAAAAAAGATTTAAAATTAATTTTTATATCGTTCGAACCGGATGTGTGGAAAGTTTGAAACGTATTTTTTTTCTCCCCCCCCCTTCGGTTTTCCATTTCCTTTCTAATTTTAATTCCTTCTCGAGTCTTCTGCTGCCACGTTTTGAAATTTTTAAAATATTAATTTTGATTTTATTTATTTTTTGTTACGATTAGGAAATCGCCGGAGTTCGAAATTCAAAACGTACGAGCACACCGATAACAAACGGACCACCAACTTCCGGTATGGCTCATTCTCGAAGTTGTTCCGACGGTCAAAGGATGAGATTGGATCCCGGAGATGATCACGGAGGAGGAGGAGGAGGAGGAGGAAAACACGACGGAGGTGATGAATTTTGAATTTTTTTGTATCAATAACCCAACCACGTATTCCCTCTCTCTCTCTCTCTCTCTCTCTCTCTCTCTCTCTCTCTCTCTCTCTCTCTCTCTCTCTCTCTCTCTTTCTGTCTTTTTCTCTTTCTTTCATTCAAAACAAACGAAATTAATTATTTCCTGTGATAATTAGTGTAATTAACACATTTTTTTTTTTTTAATATGACTTTGAATTACTTTGAAAAAAAAAACGTCGTGTCTCTCTCTCTCTCTCTTTTTCTCCTTCCACGACGACGGCTTCTCTTCTACCTTTCCCTCTCCCTCCCCCGCCCGTTCAGAGTAATGACGTCATCATTTCAGGGTTGATTAATTTTGTTTTCTTTTTTTGTTTCTCTTGCAGTCGGAAGAACGGAAAGTCCAGACAACGATTCAGCTTTTTCCGATAATGTATCGATGCTGTCGAGCGAAAGTTCGGCATCGAGCGGAGGCTCAAGTGGGGCTTCTAAAACCAGCAGCGGATTGGGAATCGACGTTCACACGAAGGTTCGAAACAATCCAAAAAATTTTTCCTTTTTTTTCTTGACCCAAAGAAACGAAAGTGATTTTGTTTTTTTTTTTTCTGGGTTCCAGCAGAACGAAACCGCCAATCGTGCGAAAGCAGAAAAAATAAAAATAGCTTTAGAGAAAATGAAATTGGCTTCGGTTAAAAAACTTTTCATAAAAGCTTTCACGAGCGACGGAAGCACGAAAAGTCTTCTCATAGATGAAAAAATGACTTGCGGATACGTCACGAGGTTGTTGGCTGATAAAAATCACGTGACTATGGAACCAAAATGGGCGATCGTCGAACATTTACCCGAATTGTACATGGGTTCGTTTAATTTTTTTTAAAAATTTTTTAAAATTTTCCCGCGTCGAAATTTTCACCGCCTTCTTGAAAACGTTTTCCTTCCTTTCTCCCCCCTTCCCTTTTCCCCATCACTCGATTCTTCCCTCTATCGGTCCCTCGATCGTTTTTTTTTTTTTTTTTTTTTTTTTTCAAATTCGATTAAGATTACGATTACGATCGGTTTTGTCGTGGAAGTAGATATTTTAAATATTTCAACTTTTTTTTTTTTTTTTGGCGCGGATAACGATAGGGGAAAAGAAATCGACGATGATGATGATGATAAAATACGAGCGTTTTTAAAACGAGGAAAATTCGTTTTAGAAAAAAAAAAAAAAAAAAAAAACGGTTCGATTTCTCGTCTTTTCTTTTCTTTTTCGAGAACGTTCTCAAATTTTCTTCTTTATTTTTATGTATCTATATACAACAATTTCTCTCTCTCTCTCTCTCTCTTTTTCGATGGCCTTTAAGCTTTTTGTAAAGTTTTTTTTTTTTCTCATAGAAAAAAAAAGAAAAAAAAAAGAAAAGAGAAAATGGAGGAAGGGAAATAATTTTTTTTTTTTTGAGAGAGAGAGAGTTTTCCGATGGAAATTTCAAAGTTTTCCTCTTCCGTTTTTTTTTTTTATATTGATTTCAAAAACTGAGAGGAAATATTTATTATTTATTTATTAGTTTTCACTTTTTTTTTTTTCTTTCCGGAGGAAAAAGGGGATAAGAAGGAGGAGGAGGAGGAGAAGGAGGCGGAGTGATAAAAAGAAAAAGAAGGAGGAGGAGAAAGAACAAAAGCAAAGGAAAAAAAAAATTTCTTCTGCTTTTTTTTATTTTGTTCATCCGTTCGTTTCCACCCCCCCCCCCACGCCCATTCTCCCCCCATTTCTTAATCCATTCAAGCTCTTAAATGTTTTTTTTATTTTATTTTTTTTCTTCTGCTTCTTCTCCTTCTCCTTCTTCTTCTTCTTTTTCCTGTTTTAAAAATGCATCATCTGGTTTATTTATTTTTATTACGTTTTACACACGATTATTTAAGTACGTGGCACGAGATGACGACGGTTAAAAAACGTTTGTTGAAATATTCATTAATTTCTCGATATTCATCCATCGATGGATCGATCGATCGATCGATTCATCCATCCATCCATTCCAAAAGGGTTTATTGATTGATTTCATTCGATTCGAATGATTATTATTATTATTATTAACTGTGGTTGTTGTTGTTGTTGTTTGCAGAACGGGTATACGAAGACCACGAACTTTTGGTTGATAACTTAATGATGTGGACGAGAGATTCGAAAAATAAAATAATATTCAACGAGAGACCGGATAAATATCAATTGTTTTCAAATCCGGAAACGTATCTTCTCTCGAGCACGGACATACTTTGCGATTACGACGATCATTCGAGAGCCATGCTTTTGGAAGAATTTTTTTCCGCGACTTCGAACACTGTGCCGGAAATATCCGGTCCACTGTATTTGAAATCCGAATCGAAAAAGGGATGGAAAAAATTTCACTTCGTTCTCAGAGCTTCCGGATTGTATTATTATCCGAAGGAAAAATCGAAATCGTCGAAAGATCTCGTTTGTTTGACGTCATTCGACATAAACGAGGTGAGTGTGATTGCCGACGGCGATGGCGATGGTGATGGTGATGGCGGCGGCGGCGACGACGGGAAGAAATTATAAGTTTTTTTTTTTACATTTTCCAGGTTTACTTCGGTGTCGGTTGGAAAAAGAAATTCAAATCCCCAACGGATTATTGTTTCGCCATAAAACATCCGCGACTCCAACAACCCAAATCCACGAAATACATAAAATATTTATGCGCCGACGATAGCATCACGTTACAAAAATGGATCGTCGGGATAAGGATAGCGAAAGTGAGTTTGAAAAAAAAAAAAAAATATCATAGAGATTATAAACCGGAAGTAGAAGTTGAAATTTATCAATATGTATGTTTTCACAGCACGGTCGACAACTTTTGGAAAATTACAGGAGTCTTTTGGACGATTTGGCACAAGAAGATTTGGATTTGTTAGCACACGCGAGAAGTTGTTCGGTCGCATCGATTGCCCAAACTAGTCAACCACAAACACCCGATCGATATTTACCAAATTACGATATAACGTAAGAGGGACGCGAGTGACGTCATTTTATCCGTTTGTTTGTTTGTTTGTTTCCGTTGTTGTACAAAATTTAAATTTTTTTTTTTTTTTTTCTGCTTTGGATTTACAGTCAAGACTTGACGGAAATACAAGAGAGAACATTAACGAGACGTGATAGCGTTAATAGCAGAGGAGGAGAATCGAGAGCATCGAGTTCTTCGAGCAGCGGTTGCCTTAGCGATGGTGCTTCTTGCGTCGAACAAGGTTTCGAATGTGATTTTCCAAACGGTAAGTGATCATTTGACACGTGGTGACAATGTCGAGCGCGCGTGTGTGTGTCAACGCTCATCACGTGGATTTTTTTTTTTTATGTTTGTGCAGCCGGGACCATTAAAAGAAAACCATCCGTGAATCCGAAATTACCTTTGACGTCAATGACGAGACAATTGAAAGAAGTCGGCGAAACCGTCGTGGTGGATACGGTGATCGATAACGAAAACGGCGGAACTTTGACACGTGGAAGAACCGGAAGCGAAACGGAAGAGGGTAAATTGTCGAAAACGGGAACATTGACGAGGAATTCGTGTTCGAGACAAAGTTGGAGAAGATCTCAAACGTCCGACGATTCAGGTTCGTGGCTCTTAAATAAAAACGAGGTATTATTGTTATTATCATTATTCTTATTGTCATTGAAATGGTATTTCAGGTAGTAATTCGGGAACATTGAAAAGGAGGAGAAGCGTGAAAAAAGATCGTGGCATGAGTGAGTCGGCCGACAGCAAACCCATCATCGTGGACGTGCAAAGGAAAATGACAGGAAATGAATTTAATTCTTTGGACAATCGATTGACTCTCGAAGAAGTCAACAGGAGTTTAAAAGAAGCCATGAACACACTTTTGAATCAAACAGAAAGTATTTCCCGGGATGAAAGTTCTTCCGTTTTCGAAGAAGCACTCGAAAGGAATTTGGAAAATATTTCGGATAACGCGTCGAGTTTCGGCGACGACGACGACGACGACGACGCCGACAACGTCAACGAGAAAATTCAAAACAACGATTTTGACGTCGACTTGTTGCCACCTCCGTCGGAAATGTTCGAAAGCACTCTGAGTCTTTCGTCGCTGCCGCCACCGCCCTCTCAAAGCGAATTACCCGTTTTCGACGAATCCGAATTGACTTGCAGCAGTTTGTCACTCGCGTCGCTTCCGCCTTTTCCGACGTCATCGACGACGACGACGACACCAAGAGTTTCGTCTCCGAAATCGGATTTATCGACTCCGGTATCGTCGGGCGGTGCCACACCCGTGAACGCTTTCTCACCGGATTTAACACCGACGAATCGTTCTCCGGCTTTTTCCCCTCCGTCGACTTTGTCTCCGAAAGTTCCTCCGAAACCTTTTCACTTACTTAAAAATAATAATAATGTAGTTAATTCTATTATTCCGTATCATAGTCAAATGTCAAATTCGGACTCGTTAAGATCTCCTGTTAAAAGTACACCACCCAAAAAGATAAGTTTTAATTTCGTTCCTGAAGAAATGACAACGACAGGTACGACAGCGGAATCGCCGAAGAAACCATTGCCGCCTAGGCGAAACGAAAATACTTCGCTTACGAGCCCGAAAAAAATCGCGAGCAAAGAATCAACGCTCACGCCGCCCCCGAAAGAATTCCTTAAAGATTTACAAAGGGTCATGAGGAAAAAATGGCAGGTGGCACAAAAATGTAAATTGGATACGTCGACGACGCCGCACGAAGTTTTAGGATTTCGAGATCCTCCGCCGCCCGTACCCGATTACAAGGAAACGAACGTATCGAATTGGGTTCAAGAGCACTACGGTAAAACGGACAATTTGTACGAAAATGTTTATCTCGTGGGTAGCAAAGGTATGCCGTCGGTGGTGACGACTCCTTACAACACCTCTAAAGTCGTCAACAACAACAACAACAACAGGATAACTCCACCGATAACGCAAAATTTAAAATCTCCACTTTCGAAAATTGACGAAAATAGTATTTACCATACGAAAAATGGGGATCATTCACCGAGGAGTAGTAGTGGTAGTGGTGGTAATGGTGTCGTCGTCGGAGGAGGAGGATTTGAAAATTCGATAGCTATGGCGATAGCTAATAAAAAACGACCCCCGCCGCCGCCGCCGAAAAGAAGCGAAACGACGCAATTGACGACGACGACGACGACAGCCAGGTTTCACTGAGGGGGGGGGGTAGTAGAAACGAGAAGAGAAGGTTGATGATTATGATGGTTGGACAAACCAAATCACGGATAAATTGTACATAATTAGAATTCCGGAGGCGGGGGGTTGATGGCGTTCGCCCGAACGCCTAAAAATGAAATCTCATTTAAAAAAAACATTTCCTTTCGTGAGCGCGTTCAGAAAGAGTAAAAAAAAAAAATAAAAGTCGGTTACTGGTTGTCACGTGACAACGCGGTTATCCGATATAAATTATTAATTTCTTTTTGTTTTTTGTTTATTTTTAATTTATTTATAATAATAGAAGGCGGTGTGAAGTTTTTGTTTGTTTGTTTGTTTGTTTTTTTTCTCTATGAAATTTTGATAAAACAAAATATACATATATAAATATTTATATATATAAATAAATATACATAGATTAGTAAATAAAATTTAAAAAAGAAAAATGTCGATTACGTTCGGATTTTTTTTTTTTATTAATAAACAAAAAAGTTGTAGTAAATAAATATATTAAAGAAAAAATATATATAAATATAAATGGTGCTTTTTCTTCTTTATTATATAATACTTTATAATTTTTTTTTTTAAATTTATATATATATAAATAAATAAATAATTAATTTGAGTATAAATTAATAAAGAAAAATGAGAGGAAGGAAAAATAAGGAAATAAACAAAAAAAAAATAAAAATTTGAGGCTGTTGATATATAAAGTTTATTAATAAAGTAATAATAATAATAACAATAATATTAATAATAATTAATTGATAGTAATAATAATAATAATAAATTTAAGAGACTTTTATATTTATATATAAAGTATACGTTTATTTACTTAATTGCGACAAAAAAAATTTATATGAATGTTTATATACATGCATGACTGCGTCGTATACACGCACACCCGCACACACACACACACACATATTCGCACAAATAATAATAATAATGATAATAATATTTAATAATTAACAATTGTTGTTGATGTCGTTGTTGATATTGTTGTTGTTGTTGTTGTTGTTGTTGATGGTTGTGAGAAAGAGTAAAAAGATAAAAAAAAAAAAACCGTTGGATAAAAGAAAACAAAAAATTTTTTAAATTAATTGTTCGTTAATTAAATCAATCAATCAATCAATCGCGGCGATAAGTCAGCGAATGAATGTATTATAGGAAACAATAACATAATACAAGCCAATGATGTGTTCGCGTGTGTGGGTGTGCGTGGGTGTAGTTATGCGCGCGTGTTGCATGAAAAATGCAATTTTTTTTTATACATGCGTTTATAAAAAAAATTATAAATATATAAATAAATAAATAAATGAAAGTTTTTAAAAAATTATGTAATAATTTTTTTTAAATAATAATAATATATATAAAATAAACGATTTGATATATATATATATAAATATTTTATTTTTTAGTACTTAAATCGATTATCGATCGATTCGATTCGATTATCAATTTTTTCCCCGTCGTAAAAGCTTTTTTTTATTTGATTCGTAAAAATTAACATTGTTTTTATATACACGAGACGCCATTTTGAACGAATTCGGGGAAAAAGAACGATATATCGATTTATTTCGATATATCGATTATTAATAAACAAACGTCATTGGGTAAAACGCACGGTGTTTATTATTTACTTTGTGATTTTTTTTAAACTTAAAACTAAAATTCGAAATTATTTTATTTTTTTTATTATTATTATTAAAATGGAAACTTTTTTAAACGCGCGCGCCATATTTAATATTAACGTTCGTTTAATAAGAAAAAAAAAGATGGAGGAAAAACCGTTGTGAATTTTACATTTTAATAAAAAATAAAATAATTACAAGAGAATGTGTAAAACTTTAACAAGTATTAAACAAAAAAAAACAAAACGAAAAAAACTCTTTGAAGAATAAATAAATAAAAAAAATGTTGAAAGAGTTATTGCACCCTAGGGAACTTAAAAAAAAAAAAAAAACTGCCATTAAAATGGCAAACTTTGATCCGGTCCTGGTACAAACGTACGTGACTCTACTTTATCTCCATGCATTTACCCATTCTTATTGTTTATATAACCAACGTAAACATCTTTTCTTTCTTTTTTCTATTCTCTCTCTCTCTCTCTCTCTCTCTATTATTATTATTTTGTTTCTTAAAATTCTCCATCTTTACTTTTTAGTTTTTCTTTTCTTTGATCCTTTATCATTATTGTCTCTTTTATCAACTACGTAGTAGTAGTAGTATGCCAAGATAAAAAAAAACTCTTTATTTCTTATTCTCTTTATAGAAAATTTAGAGAAGACATTTTGAAAAAATGAAATAAAGATTAACGGTCAAACAACAGCAACAACAACGTTCAGATGAAGATGCTGGTGATGGTGGTGGTGATGGAGACAGAGATGAAGTTGGTGTTAGAGGTGGAGATGGAGATAGACATGGTGGTGGTGGTGGTGAGTTGGAGATGAAGATGATGTTGGTGGTAGTGGTGGTGGTGGAGATGGAGATGTTGATGATGGTGGTGGTGGTGGAGGTAGGGATGATGCAAGAGGTGGTGGTGGAGATGGAGATAAAGTTGATGGTGGTGGTGGCGAAGAAGATGAAGATGAAGATGATGATGACGGCGGTGGTGGTGGTGGTGGAGATGATGTTGATGGTGTTAGAGATGGAAATGATGATGGTGGTAGTGGGGATGGAAATGGACATGATGATGCAAGAGGTGGTGGTGGAGAAGGTGGAGAAAGAAAAAGGTTCTTAATAAATAAAAGAATTCGATTGGGAAAAAAAATTATGAAGAAGACATGAAGAAATGCCATTTGGGACGACAGGAAAAAAAAAATATTTAAAGAAAATTTTTTTTTTTTTTTTTCAATTTAATATTCCAGTGAAAAATACTGTGGGAATGTTAAAAAGGGATAAATTACAGGAAAAATGGGAATTAAAAAAAGAGTGAAAAGTTTGTGTGTGTGTGAGAGAGAGAGTTAAGGGTTGGGAAAAAAAAACTTAACGAATTTTCTTTTTAAAAAATTTCAAATTGAAAAAAATAAAAAAATAAAAATTTAATATGTCAGATAGGTAAATGCTTATGAATATCGTCCTTCTCTCTCTCTCTCTCTCTCTCTCTCTCTCTCTCTCTCTCTCTCTCCCTTTCTATCTCTCTCTTTTAAATTTATTTTGATTAAAAAAATATTTAAAATTTTTTTTTAAAACGTTTCACCCCCCCCTTCATTTTTTCGACGTTTTCAATTCCTCCCCCCTTTTCCCCTTCGTTCCGTTCAAAAAAATTTTTTCTACTTTTTTTTTTTCGTTAAACAAAATTGAAATATAAATAAATAATTTTTAATGGGCTCAAAAGAGTTTTTAATTAGAAAATGGTGGGGAAAATTTTCTCTTTTTTAATTATTATTATTATTATTATATATATATTAATACTATACTACTAAACTTACTTACCCGTGGTTTTTTTTTTTTTTTTTTATTTAATATTTCACCCACGTTAAATTATTTACGAATTAAAACGAGGCGTTAAAAAATAAAAATATTCTTCTTGCACTTTTATTTTTCCGCCATTTTTAACAATATTAATTGTTTACGTTTGTGACGTCATTCGCAATGCAAATATCTTTCACTTGGCGACTAATATACTTTCCCGCGTTTTTCGTCTTCTTATAGAAGGCAGTTGTTTATTTTTCGTAAACAAAATGTCGTCGGTGTAATACGTAGGATTATTTATCCTGTTGTTTAAAACGTTGAAAACTTATTTTAAATGATTGTTTTTCATTTGTTCGATTAATCGAACGATAAAAAATATTATTTTAAGGTAAATTTTATCTTATTTTAATGATTTAATATAAAAAAAAAACTAAAAAACGTTGCGTGGGTTCCGCCATTACTAATAATTTTTAATACCAAATTTAAATAAAACTGAGTGCGGGTGTCTTGTGTGGGTACACTCGGTATAAGATTTAATCTCATTATTATTATTATCATTATCTGAACCATCGTTTTAAATAATAATAATAATAATAATTTCATATTTATTGTATTTCAATATACAAAACAATTATCAGACACTTGTTTTTGACAATCAACCTTCCTTCCCCTTCCCCCACAAAAGAAAATCAACGGGTGACATTTTTTTTTTTTTTATTGTGACCTACCTAGAGACATAAGTGAAATGTTTTTTTTTAAACTTCCGGTTTTGTTGTGAATTGGGTTGTTTTTGTTGGTTTCCTAGTTGAATCGGATGCTGTGAAGACAGGAGATGAACATTCATTCTCTCTTCCCCCCCCTTTTTCCCCCTCCTCCCTATATAATCTTTTTTTTTTTTTCATATATTCCCAAGCGATATTAGTCGTTTTTATTCGCCAGGTGGTAAATTTACCCTCACCTTAAATTCTCATAGTTATTTGTTTTATTAATGGGGTGGTTCATGTGAACTTTTTCTTTTTTATTTTATTTTATTTATTTATTTATTTATTTTTCATATGATTGAAAATGAGAATTTTTTTTTTTTTATAAAAGGGAACGACGTAAGATTCATCACATCATCTTTCCTTCAATCATCTCTCCTCCTTCCTTCCTTTTTTTTTTTTTTCGCTTCGTCGAATTATCTAATTTCTTAATCTATTCATTTATTTAATATCCGACATGTTTTTTCACGTGTTCTTCAAATTTTATCATCATCATCATCATCATCATTATTATTATTTCGGAAAAAAAACGTGTTCGCAACGATATTGAATTTCGTTTTTAAACAAATTTTTTTTTATTTGCAAATTTCCCGTTGAGGATATCCCTTTTTCATGTAAAATCGTACTCTTTAAATGATTATTATTATCATTATCATTATTATTATTTATCGTTACGTTCTTCTGCCACTGTTAAAATTAGTAAATGCGGAAATTTATTGGGTATCGAAATAATTACCAAAGAAGAAGTCATAGAGTATTTGAGAAAGAGTACAGAGATTTGTCGTGGTGGTAGACAAAAGATAAACAATAATAAGGAATAGGAAA